TGTTGCAGTTGCAGTCAGTTGCAGAGACACGTTTAATTATTATGCCTTGTATGGGGGACTGACTGATTGAATGGTGTAAGCTATACACAAATGATAATATCGTACGATAAGGGTAGATTATAATACACTTTTGTCACCGCACCTTCTCATCCCGTGAGTGTCACAAAAGTCAACTAAAGCCGATTTAAAAAATATTGTTTTTAAGGGAATCATTGAATGACTGCTCCCCCCTGTGAGGCGGAAGGGACTGTCAGACTCTTACTGACTAAAAACCCCGAAACCCTGAGCCCCGGTAACCCGTTAGGTTCTCCGCGACTCCGATTCGGCATCGGCCCTGTTGGGCCCCATCTGTGGTGGCTCTTTGAGGCGCGCGCGGAACGCGATGTGCCGTACGCTCGGGTCTTTTTGCAACACCCTTGGCCTCTATAGTTTTGTCATCACTCAGAGCTGGCAATAAATAGAATGAGAGAGAGGGTGAGACGTGACCGCACGCGAAGCTGACGAGGTGTGGTTCGTAAACTTATGGTATATTTACAAATATTTCACATCGATCTTGGCCTAAATATAGTTAAGTTAATTTGGTCCACGGATGTCTAATTTTAACAACACAAGACTGTCGTAATTGTAAGCAACTTGAATGGGTCTCTTGCTGGCCTACTGGTCAGCTCTAGACTATATGATTTTATTGTCCTTAGGATTATTTTCTTTTTCCATATCTGACTGGATTTTGGTGTTACATTGTTCTCCCACAATTGAACCAACAAAATTGTGTAATTAAAAATCGTATGGCAAACATATTTTAACAAGAGTAACCTAAGGAGTTTCTTGCTCGTTCTTCTTCATAGGAATCAGCAAACAGCTTTACTTAAATTTTTTGTTGACGTTCAAAAGTGCCTTCCTTGTCTAATTGAAATTTGACCTGACTTGACTTATATCAGAGACATTATAGAACATACTTTTTTAAAAGAGTAACGAATGGAGTTTTTTACTCGTTCTTCTCCATTCGAATCTACATTTTGGAATGAGCACCTAGCTTCACCTAACTCCACTGACGGACTGACTGACAGACTATTATTATATTGTATTTGTTGACGTTTCAAAAGTACCAAATTATGGTTTAATTGAAATAAGTGATTTTGACCTGACTTGTCTTGACCTGCTGGAGCACCATCCTCTCACAGAATATCAACACGAAGTTGGTAAGTTTCGTCTAGTGCTGTGAAAGTTCCGAATGACGAACCCATATAATTTTTTGGGAGAAGGGATCCCAAAAGTGCTAGTACAATTAAGGCCTTCGCAGCCGGGATAGCGTTGCAAACGATTTTACCATCAGTCAGTTGCAGCATGCCAGAGTAAAAGACCCTGTTCCCTGTTTCCCTGCTTTATATAAATATATATAAATTATACAAGCATCGGAGTCATTATCATGCCATTGCCTACAGCGGCACTATGGCATCCTACCGCGGGAGCCCGTGGCGCACCACGGGCTCCCGCGCATAGGTCTTCCATTATTATAAACCACATCAATTTATATTGTATTTCTATATCACTACGAAATTTAATAATCCCTAATGGACAATTAGGGATTATTAAATTTCTGGGGTGTCGTGGTGGCCCGGAGGTTTAAGACGCCCACTTCTCATGCATGAGGGTGCGGGTTCGAAACCTACCAACGGCAAGTACCAATGTGACTTTTTCCGAGTTATATGTACTTTCTAAGATTATTTAGACACCACTGACAAACGGTGAAGGAAAAACATCGTGAGGAAACCTGAACTTATAATTTCTAATTATAAGTTTGAAATCGCCAACCCGCATTGAGTAAGCGTGGTGATTAACGCTCTAACCTTCTCCGTCTGAGAAGAGGCTTTGCTCAGCAGTGGGCATTTATAGGCTGTTGATGATGATGATGAAATTTCTGGGGATGTTAAGTCTACTAATAGTAGTTTTAACGAAGCTTACCTTCGTGTTCAGGAGATCCTGTGTGAATGGAGGAGATAGCTTGGTGGTCCTGATGGTACCAGAGCTGTCTGAGATCTCGCTCAGGGTCACCTCAACATCGGCACCGCGTTCAAACTCCTGCTGACAAAATATACTACTAAATAAATGAACCTGTTTGATTAGTTGTTTTGAATCAGATTAATAAGTGTCATGCAATTTATTCCATTAGGTCGTTGAGTTAATTGGCAGAAATCTTGTTGAAATATAAATTTATGACATAATTGCAAGATGAATTAAATGCCAATTTAATTGTACAGTTAACGATTGGGTTCTTTTTTTTTAAAGGAGGAAAATCATCGAATGACTGCTCCCGCCTGGGTGAGGCGGGAGGGAGTGTCAGACTCTTACTGACTAAAAACCACCCCGTTCCTTCTCCTGCACGTCGAGCCGGAGCCCCGGTTACCCGTTAGGTTCTCCGCGACGACTTTTTGCTTCGAACGATTGGGTACTTGCCAAGTAGTAAAATTCAATGCTTACTTTTTTCGAACTGTCAAAAACGACAGTTCTCTATGAATTTTGTACGAGATTGTTGAGATTGTGTATTGTAACGTCACGTTTTTTTAGCGCCAAACAGCATACTTATTTTTGAAAAATTAGCTGGAAAGATACTAAAGTTAAGTTGGTCATAAAATCGATTAATGGAAGTGTCATTATTTTTTTTATATTTTTAATGTTTTGAACAGTCAAAATAAATTATTTTTGATTAAGAAAAGTACCCAATAATAATGAACTCGTCGAGTACCGGTTTTGTAGACACAATTATAGAACAATAGGTTGCGGTCACCGGTGACCACTTGGTGTTTGACAGTTTAACTGATGATTGAAAAATTTTAAACACTAAATTCAGTTTAAGCTCGCCTTGCAATAGCCGGGCAATGTTAGTTAAAGAGTTATGCAGTCTTAAGATTTCGAAATTCATCCAAAGACGTTGCAGTAGTTACGTCATTACATAACTCGCAGGAGAAGGAGTCCAGCATTTCGCTAAGCCGGGCTGGCGCAGGGCGGGTCGCGATCGCAGTGCGAAAGTACAGTTCTCGTCCTTATGCGCGAGTGGCACAACCCGGGGTTCTTAGTGGATTCTAGCCCCCCATTACCCGGCCTCGCGCGGCTGGCCGGCTCGTAAGCAACAATACTGACACCTACCCATTTCCCTCTTTTTTATGAAAACCAAAATCTCTCCCGCCTGGGTGAGGCGAGCTGGACTGTCAGACTTTTACTGACTAAAAACCACCCCGTTCCTCAAGTTTTTGAGAACGGTCGATAGGTTTCAAGGAAGCTCGAAAACGATGGGGCACGCTCCATAGTTTTCGAGGACGGTCGATTGATTACAAGAACGTTCGATAGATTTCGAGATCGCTTGAAAACGATCGAGGACGCTCAAAAACAATCGAGGACGCTCAAACAAGATCGAGGACTCTCGATAGATTTCGAGGATGCTCGATAGATTTCGAGGTCGCTCGAAAACGATCGAAGTTGCTCAATTGATTTCGAGGTTGCTCGATTAATTTCGAGGACTCGCGATAGATTTTGAGGACGCTCGAAAACGATCGAGGACTCTCGATAGATTTCGAGGACTCTCGATAGATTTCGAAGACGCTCGATAGATTTCGAGAGCGCTCGAAAACAATCGAGGACACTCGAAAACGATCGAGGACGCGCGAAAACGATCGAGGACGCTCGATTGATTTCGAGGACGCTCGAAAACGATCGAGGACCCTCGATTGATTTCGAGGACGCTCGATAGATTTCGAGGACGCTCGAAAACGATCGAGGATGCTCGATAGATTTCGAGGACGCTCGAAAACGATCGAGGATGCTCGATTGATTTCGAGGACGCTCGAAAACGATCGAGGACGCTCGATAGCTTTCGAGGACGCTCGAAAACGATCGAGGACTCTCGATAGATTTCGAGGACGCTCGAAAATGATCGAGGATGCTCGATTGATTTCGAGGACGCTCGAAAACGATCGAGGACGCTCGATAGCTTTCGAGGACGCTCGAAAACGATCGAGGACTCTCGATAGATTTCGAGGACGCTCGAAAACGATCGAGGATGCTCGATCGATTTCGAGGACGCTCGAAAACGATCGAGGATGCTCGATTGATTTCGAGGACGCTCGATTGATTTCGAGGACGCTCGAAAACGATCGAGGATGCTCGATTGATTTCGAGAACGCTCGATTGATTTCGAGGACGATCGAGGACTCTCGATAGATTTCGAGGACGCTCGAAAACGATCGACGACGCTCGACAGATTTCGAGGATGCTCGAAAACGATTGTGGACGCTCGATAGTTTCGAGGACGCTCGATAGATGTCGAGTCACTCCTGCACATCCCGTTAAGCATTCCGCAGCTCCGTGTCGCTGTATGTTCAACGCCGGATAAATTTGAACTGAATAATAACTTTAAATACCTTATTTAACAATTCTTCCATAGGAACTAATTGTTAAATGCCAATTTTATTCTACAGTTAACGATTGGGTAGTTAGAAAGTACCCAATTGCCAAGCTGTATGGCAATGCTTAACCTTTGATCGGGGAACAAACCAGCCCTCTGGCCACGAGATACGTCGACCAGGTTGCTTACTCTTGAAACCAATCTCAATGTCAATGCAATTTCAATCCAATAAAATCTCAATAATTATTCAATGTTAAAACTGTACAACCCCTTTATTAGCTGTTGAAATAGCATTCAGAGTATGGAATTTAAAGCCAAACTCAATACCATTTAGTTTAATCAATATCCACGCAATACGGATGCAATGAGCGCTACTGTTGCAACTCAAAAGTACGACAATTTACAATACCAATGTCGATCGATCGGAATTGGATTCTAGACTAAGCCGCCAGGCATTTTGAAATAAATTTAAATAAACTATAGGCACTCGGACCCCACGGACCTAGCGTCTCATCCATAAACGGCTCAAAGATATACATAATTACCAGCAAGATTATTATATTAACTATAAATCGCGGGTTACTCACGTGAACGTGAATATACTGAGAAAAGGTCTACTAGTTTCGAACCACAGTAGTAGTAAGTAGGCTGCGCGGCATCGCCGCGACCGCGCACGCTGCTCATGACGGAGAACCCCTCTGTGGTTCGAAACTAGTAGAGCTTTTCTCAGTATATTCACGAAGTGAAGTGAAGTATAGAGAGAAAGAGCTGTTGTATGCCACCCACCTCATCGTCGCCGCCTTCATCGGCCTCAGCTACGGAGTCCTTGTCTCCAGAGCCCAGAGCCTCGAAGAACTTCTCGTAATCACCCTCTTTGGAATCCGCATCTAAGGGAGAAAAAAAATATTACATCACTAGGTTATGACGTGGTGGCCCGGAGGTTTAAGACGCCCGCTTCTCATGCTTGAGGGTGCGGGCTCGAAACCTGACAGCGGCAAGTATCAATATGACTTTTTTCGAGATGTATGTACTTTCTAATATTATTTAGACACCAATGACAAATTTAATGGTGAAGGAAAATATCATGAGGAAGCTTAGGCTTATAATTTCTAATTATAAGTTTGTAATCACCAACCCGTATTAAGCAAGCGTGGTAATTAATGCTCAAACCTTCTCCGTGTGAGAAGAGGCTTTGCTCAGCAGTGGGGGTATGTAGAGGTGCACATTAAGTTATACGGCATTTAATGCCACTGTACAATGTAACACCCACTTTTACTATTTATGTTATGAGTTTATTGCCATATACCGGACACAATTCCAGACGCCGTGACTAAGAATTAAAAAAAAACAGTAGTACTTTGCTCGACCCGGGAATCGAACCTGTGACGCCTTGCCCGGCAGTCGCACTTGCGACCGCTCGGCCAACGAGGCAGGTAAAATGGAATTTTCGGGTGTAGTGCCATTGAAGTGGTGCGGAGCGGGGATCAGCTGTGAAAAGAGGTATGTGTTTCCACTAAAGCGAAGTGGGATGGAGTGAAGCCGCTTTGCCTATTCGCATCATCAAGCGTCTGGTGCTAGAGGCGGAAAAAATGCAGAGAGTGCCCTAAGCAAGTTCTTCATAGGCATCCCTAATTTTGGCGCCGCCGTCACGACCAAACGGTTGCAAACGAATCGAGCAGTCCGATTGCAGTTCTATTGCAGTCGTATCAATTGCGTTCAAACTGCAACAGAACTGCATTTGCAGTTCGTCTGTATAGAACCTGACATTCTGTGCTGCCGTCGTTGTTGCACAGATCAGTTGCGCAAACAAGAGGACACCAAAAGTCAAAAGTAAAAATTATTTATTTCAATTAGACCAGGAAGGCACTTTTGAACGTCAACAACAAAAATTTTGAAGTGAATCTAGTTGCTCATTCCAAGGTGTAGATTCCTATGGAGAAGAACGAGCGAGAAACTCCATAGGTTTACAATACAATTCTCTAGTTACATAGTTTTGTTGGTTCGATTGTGTGAGAACAATGCAACACCTAAATGCAGTCAAAGAGATTGAAAAAGAAAATAACCTCGAGGACCATAAAACCAGGTGAGTAACGCTCTATAGAGCTGTATACATTTTGTTGGTGGCGGCAACTGGTTCCGCTGCCATGGTGTCCCGGTGAAGCCTATAGCCTGGCGAGCGATCTTAATTCATCGCGTTACCTGAAGCCGGCTTGTCATCATCCTATACCAGGGCTGTGTCGCGGAAAACCTAACGGGTTACCGGGGCTCCGGCGGGAGCAGTCATTCGATGATTTTACCTCATATAAAAAACGCCTGTCAGGTACTTACCAATAATTTCAATGCTAGCCCTTCCATTGTGATCTTGGTCCCTGATCTGGTTGGCTACAGTAATAGCCTTCAGTCTCTCAACGCTCTTGGCGTTTTCTCCAACATACAGATATATTTCATGGTTCACATCCAGGACGAAACAATCGCCTTTGTTTAGTGACTCGAACTTGACATCCACCTGGAAAATGAAGGTGATTTAGTAATCTTAAACATGCTATACGTGTATCGTGATGGCCCCGAGGCAGAAGACGTCTGCTTATCATCCAGGAGGGTGCGGGTACGAAACCTACCAACGGCAAGTACCAATGTGACTTATTCCGAGTTATATGTACTTTCTAAGATTATTTAGACACCACTTGCAAACGATAAAGGAAAACATCGTGAGGAAACCTGGGCCTTGTAATTTTAAGTTTGTAATCGCCAACCCGCATTGAGCAAGCGTGGTTAATGCTCTAACCTTCTCCATGTGAGAAGAGGCTTTGCTCAGCAGTGGGCATTTATAAGCTGATGATGATTAAACATGCTTTTATTAGATCAACCCAAGGACGTCAGGAAAAGGCGACAGTCTCTTGAAACAACGGCTGTGGTACAAGCAGCTGTAGCCAAATGCCATTTAGCGCTTGTCTACATGTAGAATAGGAAACCAAATTTTGTCATTTGTCAGTGGCATCCCCATACATTTAGTTTTCGACTCTCTCTGTAGACAAGCGCTAGTGGCGTTTGGCTAAAGGTTACTGTAACTGGTTACTATAGACTTACACGTAGAACACACACTTATTGACACTACAGACATCTATAATACAAGGTGTAATTTTGAAGCCGTGTCATTTCTCGGGCGCATGTCACAGACGTCATAAAGGTTCAATGTAAGAGAAAATTTCGGGCCAATAGTTAAAAATACGGCTATAATAAATCGTTTAAGTTGGACAGTATTTCAGAAAAAGCGATAGCAATGCTTCTTATTAAAGTTTTATGGAATTAGGAATTATATTAATTACGTGTTTGAGTTTGTATGTGTTATGCCGCGATATAAAGCTAGTTACAAGACGGCGGCGTGTAGTTCACACTTATGGATTTCCGTAATTTACAGAAAAGTGAAAAATATTTACCTACCACTTTTTTTTATTGATTTGGACTCAGAATTGATAGCCGAGTTACCTCCTAGAAAATGACGCGGCTTTAAAACAACACCTTGTATATATATACCTGTTTAACTCGAACATTTCGTTTGCCCTTGATCTGGAACAATCTTTGTTCAGCTCCCTCGTTGATTGTGACGTGGTTGAAGCCAGAAGCATGGCCTCCGTCCAGGTACCTGATCGCTAGACAAGGATGACAGATGTGTTAGAAAGAGACAGAGAAGAACAAAAATCATAAGAGGTATAATAATTTGAGT